GTCAAGAAAGTTGCAGAAGTAAAGGGTCTGTGGCATCTTCCTCCTCAGGTAAGGAGGGCAACAAAGGCTAGACATGAGGCAAGGGAGTCCACGCAAGGAGGCCTAGAGAGGCCATTGCATGAAGCTTGATAGTGTGTTGTCTTTAGTAAAATCTCAAGCATTTGATTTTTACCAAAGAAGACTCAGGATCCAGATGCTGGGGTGAAACCCTGCTAGCTTAGAGAGGCGAAAAAGCACACAATTGATCTTCCTCCTCAGCTGACATCTCTCCATCCATCTCCCTGACCCCCCACAACTTCCTCTTTCTCTCTGTTTTTTTTCTCATGTTCACTCCCTGTCAACTGATTGCTTGCTCCACCTCTTGACCTATGGTTGACTTTATTTAATCCTGTTTACCATAAACACAAAGCTCTTAGATTAAAGGTGTGTTCTAGGGATGAGCCACTCCACAACCAAAAACAGGTTTTCCAAGTAAATAACACTATCTCAGGGGTCACAGTGTGATCAAATATCCCATAACATTTCCCATCTTCTATATAAATAAAAAGGAAAGCTCTTAACTCTAACATAGTAAAGCTATTTACAATATTGAAGCTATTCCTGTGAAGCTTTCCACAATGTCTAGTTTGGTTGTATTTGGAAGTCTTAAGATTAAGTACTTTTGAGTTCAAGTTCTGTAAAATGTTCATGTCAGTCTTCTATGAACTCAGCGATTTGAGTGTCCTGACCAGTTTGTAGTCTGAAGCTGATGTTTGGGTGGTGTTTATCAGTTTAGTGACAATCTTGGCTAGGTAGACACAGAAGTCAACCTAAATATGTCCACTGTTTGTGCAGAACCTGGTGGCAGAAGAGGCATGGGGCCTCTCCCAGTGGTTAGGATTACCACAGCACAGGTGAGTTTTTTCTTGCAGGGCCCCATGTTCTCGGAGACATCAAAGGTTACTGTTAGTAATGGTAGAAAGCTTAAACATTTGAAATGCCACATTTAGGAGATATCAGAACGGTTTGAGGACCACAGTCTATTAAGTACACTGGAGTTTCACAACCTTTGTTCCACGTTACCTGCTTCAGACTCAAACCTAAAAACACATACAGGAAGCAGGATGAAGCCTCTTTCTAGACTATGGTAGTATTCTGTATGATTGCTAGCATCATGACAGGAAGTTTATATATACAGTCATCTTACAGATTTTGAGATAATATTTTTTACCTCAAGAAAAGTTTTAAAGAATCAAATGAAAACCAAGATTGTGTGATTAGTGGCAATAGAACAGTCCTTACTTTCTGTCTTTCTCTGTCACAGACCAGGTGGCTTTTCTGATATGAGACAGAGGTTTTATATTGCCCTTTAACAAACATGCAAGGGTTTAGAGGAGAGAGCCATGTCCCAACCCCAAAGCCAGCTTTAGTTTTTAATTGAATTGGGACCAATAAAGACATTTGTCACTTATGTCTGTAAAGGGCAACAGAGACAAGCTGGCATTGGGTGATATCACGTGGCCAACTTACTGTTTGTCTTGAGACATAGTCCCTTGATGCTCAATCTTCTTTACTCAAATGTTTCACTCGTTCAATGGTCTCTGGTTTCCTTAGTTGGATGCTTTTTTATCTCCTAGAAAGATAAAACAAAACCTTGCCCCAACCCTAACTGTGGGGTTCCTTTTTCGGTAGGTTATATCTTTCCTAGAGCAAAATGTTTCTTGGACAACAAAAAAAAGTATTATCTTTCAACTGAAATAAAAAATTCTTTTGAAATTTTGAAATTAAATATGTCTTAATATGTGTGGATAAATATACCGATATTCCCCTTGCTTTCTATAAATAAAGTCAAGGTTTAAGTGTGCTTATTTTTAGATCACAAAGGGCATTCACTCTGAATTTCAGCATGACTTTTTGTTTTGTTTTGTTTTGTTTTTGGTCTTTGGAGACAGGGTTTCTCTGTTTAGTCCTGGCTGGCCTGGAACTCACTCTGTAGACCAGGCTGGCCTCGAACTCAGAAATCCACCTGCCTCTGCCTCCCAAGTGCTGGGATTAAAGGCGTGCACCAGCATGACTTTTGCAAGCAGCTTTTAAATTTAAATCCCTATGTGCTTAGCTTTGCTTCCTAAATGTTGGGGATAAAGGTGTGAGCCACCACTTGACTCTGGATACCTTATGATAGTTATTCTCATGAAGTTGTCCTGGTTTAGTTTAGCTCTATTTCTCCTTAATTTTTTTAGTGTTAGAGGCAAACTTTCAAGTTTTTCCAATGTGCAATCTATACTTCTTGCTGATTTATTCTGAATTTGTTTCCTGACAAATTTTAACATTCTAGTCTTAATTAAACATGATGACAATTTGTCCACCATTTCATTGTTTTCAGACGTTTGTTTGTCTTACCTGTATGAGCTACATAACATTTGATGTCCTTGCTAAGTTTTCCTAGGTTTCACCCTTTCCATTCATACCTCCCATGACCAGATATCTTTGTATTTATCTTCCCCTTAGTGGTTTTCCATTTTGATGACCATATAGCTAGACCATTGCACATGTGCCATGAATTGGAGAAGATAAAGATTTTCTATTTGCTTTCCTAGTTGTTTGTCTTACAGCCAATGGGGCCGTGATGATTTTGTGGTTCCTTTCTCAGTAGTGGCCATCACATGCACACACACACACACACACACACACACACACACACACACACGTCTATAGGCTTCCGCTTCCCATTAGCTTTGGTTTCATCAGTGGTGGTTGACTAGCAGTAAACCATGCATTAGCCAAATGCTGTGACCATTCTGTTGGTCCCCATAATTCAAGTCAAGAGGTGCCTCTTCTGCGGAAGGAGTGAGCAGTTTAGAAATGGACAACTGAACTACTTCCTCAATGTGGGAAAGGCACAGACCCCTTTGCTACCACGTCTTGGTCATGAAGGAATTCAGATAGGTACCAGTTCCACTGTTATACCTTTCTTTCAGTGGCTAAGCCTGTGAAGGGCTCTGTGACCCTGCCTTTGAATGGATCCAATCCATCCTTGTAAAGGGTGTGCTTATGGCCATAGGTTGGTTGGCAATGTCTGACTTTAAGGTTCTCCAAGCCTTGTAAAATGTCCACATTTGTTTCTCAAAGACATATTATTGTTTCTCAAATATTTTTTCCCCATATATGGAAAACATTTGCAATAGAAGCCAATGGGCAGATGTTGGTGGACCCTTTTTTGCTTTATGAAGAGTCCCCATTTCCAATTCACCAGTCAGCATGATATTCATAATTAGGGTATCATTTGGTTCAGTATTGGTCAGGTTTGCATGCATGGAGATGAGCTTACCAGTAGCTGCAAAAGCTGCCCCTTGTTGTGTTTTAATTGTATAGGGATTTACAATTAAGAGATTCCCCTGAATCTCAGAAGATAGTTTGGGCTTTAAAGCAGCGTTGAGACTGAACAGAAGTCGGACTGAATGAATTTTGCATTATGATGTGGCTACAAGCCTATGGGAGCCAAGGAGTGGAATGTGGTAATTTGAATGAGAATGGTCCCCTCAGGGTCATGTATTTGATTGTTTAGTACCTGGTTGACAGAATACTTTGGGAGGACTAAGAGGTGTGGCCTTGTTGGAGGAGGTATGTCACTGGGGAGCAGGCTTTGGGTTCCCTCTCTCTCTGTCTCTCTCTGTCTCTCTGTCTCTCTGTCTCTGTCTCTCTCTTATCACTATACCCAGAGACAGACTCTCAGCTTCGAGACTGGAAGACTGCCCAGGGATGAGCCACGCCCAACAACAGTCCACTGTATCGAAAGATCTAATTTTTTAAAAACAAATTCCTCAATTTTGCCTGCCCATCTGGTTCTAGTTCCCCTTAATGACACGGCATCAGACAAAGCAGGCGGTATTAATCCTGGGGAGACCAGGCAGGTTTGTTGCTATGTCTTGGCTTTTTGGGATTTCCAGAGGGGATATCATGAGTTCTCGAACACATCACTGGATTATCTGAATTCAAGCCAATTGTTTAAGCCCTTCTGTAGCCTTCAGAATGAGGTCAAAACAGGACAGAAAATCCAGCTACTCCAGCCTCTCCATCCTGTATACCCCACAAACTACTTGGTATCTCATTTGTGTTTCCTCCCTCCCTCTCTCCCTCCCTCCCTCCCTCCCTCCCTCCCTCCCTCCCTCCCTCCCTCCCTTCCTCTCCCTCCCTCTCACGGTTCCCTTCCATACTACAAGGCCACCCATCTCCCAGACTAAACTGTCCTGGCCAGTGATGACCACCCACAGAGAGAGAGACACACACATGAGGAGTGAATTTTTATGAGGAGAACATTCCAGAATGTGGGGTAAATTACTACAAGAAGGGACAATGCTGGTGACATTCCAATCTGAGAGTAGCTTGAAGCATTTGTGGTGGGCAAGCCAGGATCCCTCGCAGAGTTAGAAACTGGTAATCTTCATAGGATATTTGAGGCAGCATTTCCTGTTCTTTAGGCAGGTTAAGTATTGGATCTCATATTTCTGGCAGGCATTTCTGCATATCCCCTGGTAAAGCTCACATGAAATCCATGGCTCTCGCTTCTGGCTACTTCGGAACCTGAACAGGGCACCTGGGAAAGACACAGCCACGCTTAGTTTCTGTGCATCGGTAATGCTGGAGGCGAGAAATCACGACTGACAGGAAACAGTCCCTTTCAGCACAGGACCCAGAGTCAAAACATCTGGAGTTAAACCGGGGCTCCGCCCTTTGCTGGCTCCATGCTTCTTCCTCCAGCTCTCTGGCCCTACATCATCTTTACGATGAAATAAACAACTGGGTCAAGTCCCTAATGGTTTTGTGATGATAAAATTATTACATATAGGATGTCCATAAAATCATTAAGCATTTAATAAATAAATAAAATATTTATCAAATAATTATTTAAATTATATAAATTAATAATAAAATTAATTACTTACTTAAGTAATTATATGGCACTTATAAAACCTAACAGAAACAAACACAATAAAATTCACCCCACCCCAATTCATAGCATCAGTTCAACGGAGTCACCACCCCACCCCAATTCATAGCATCAGTTCAACGGAGTCCATCTACAGACCCTCTCTATCCCAATTCCTAGTTTCACTAAATGCCTCCCAGCTCCATCCAGCTGCAAACGCCACTCACTGTCCACGTGACATCAGAACATCAGCCAAGACTGGGTTCACAGCAGAACCACTTGTCTCCCTCTCAACCCCCACTCACCTTTGCCATCACCCTCTTTCTCTGAGGTCTTAACATCCGTGCCCCACACCCCACTCACTATCCCACATGTAGTCATTCCTCCTCCCAAGCTCCCACACCTACACCACGAACCAGGCTCTCATCCCAGTTAGAGCACTTCCTGATGCCCTTCAGGCCTCGAGTCTCCACGGTGCCAGGAGCACAGGCCAAGAACCTTAAGTTTGCCGTGAAAGAAAATTAAGGGGGATCCTGACATGGCTGATACTGCGTCATCTGCAACCTACCAGGGAGATTTGCCTAGTCTACACATCACCGAGATACCCATAGTACACGTGAAACCCCAGAACCTTAGAGAGACCCAAGTTACCTGTGGTCTTGGCTACCAGGATCAGCAGGACCGCCACGGTCGTGAAATATGGCTTTGGGTCTGGCATGATGAGGAACACAGACGCTGTGTTGCAGGTGACTGGGCAGGAATCGCTGCAGCAGAACAGGGCCCTGCCTCTCTCAGTTTTGGAAATGGGCCAGGGTTAGAGGCAACGAACTGAAAGGGATTTTAAAACCTGAGGTTAACCAAGCAGGAGGATACAATGCCTCAGAAGTCCCAGCTGGGGTGCTGTGCCGGGGTGGGAGACATCCGAGCAACACTCACAGCAAAGCAGGCCCACCTTCCAGTAAGTCAGGAAGACAGAGTTTTAGCCAGTTGACACCTCCTCACTCACACAGTGAGAAAATGTATACTTGTAACAAGTAATCTCTGGCCATGAGTCTTTACTAGAAAGTTCTCTGCTTGAAAGAAATGAACTAAATAGTATCGTAATAATGCAAGAAGGTTTATGGTTCCTTACACAGATGTTCAGTCGTTGTCCATTGTTCCTCAGTAAAACTGGGCAGGGAGACTGGAGGGATGGTTCAGTGGTTAAGAGCACTGGCTGCTCTTCCAGGGGATCAGAGTTCAATTCCCAGCCTCCTCATGGTGATTTACAACTGTTGGCATCTCCAGGGGAGCCTCTGGTTCCATAAGCTCCAGGTACACACGTGGTGCACAGATAGACTTGCAGGCAAAATGCCCTTATGATACCAAATAAAGCACACCAAAGCAATATTTGAGCAAACAGACAAGAACCCCAGATGGCAACAACAAAAAGCTGGGTGGAGAAAAGGACAAAGGATGTGAGGAATGTCCCATGAGGACAAAGAAAGATTCCTCTGGGACTAGGGGGATGCCCGTGGGTAAAGTGCTTGCTGTAAAGCATGAGGACCTGAGTTCAGATCCCCACACCCACACAATATCTCCAGCATGACAGCATGTCTGAATCCACAGTGCTACAGAGGGAGAGACAGGCAGACCCTTGGGACTCAGTGGCTGGCTATTTAGACAAATCCACAAGCTCCAGGGTAGTGAGAGGCCTTGTCCCCAAAAGTAAAGTGGAGGGCAAGGAAGGAAGACACCTGATGTTGACTTTTGGCCTCAATAGGTGCATACACAGATGAGTGTACACACACACACACACACACACACACACAGAGGCACATATAGACATACAAATACACACAGTAACACACACATACACACACAGACAAACATAGAGACACACACAGAGACACACACACAGAGACACAGACAGACAGATACACACACACAGGCACACACACACATATGCTCACCATTACTAACCATAAGAGAAATTCTATTTCAAAGTACAGTGAGGCATCATCTCATACTTCTGAGAATGCATGCTATTTCAAAACAAGAGTAATACTGTTGACAAATATTGTCAAGAACGAACACAGTCACATCCTTTTATATCTCTGGTGGCAATAGGAAGTGATTTCTGGGACTATGGAAGACAGTACACAGAGTGGTAATTACTCAAACAGTTATACCCCAAGTTCCCCTCCCAGGTGTATTCCCCAAAGAGCATAGGTTTCAAAGCCCATGTCCACAGTGACATCATCCATAACAGTCAGACCTGTCACTCAGTACTGGTTGGAGGGATATACAAAGTGTAGTGTGGGGGTGTAGCAGAGTATTGGTTTGCCTGTAAAGGAAGAGTCTCCGGTTCCAACACATGCCCTGACATTGCTGAGCCTCAAAGACACTGTGCCAAGAGATAGAACCCAGTCATGGATGCAGCATCCCACTCATACGAGGTACCCAGAGTCATCAAACCTCTAGAAACAGAAATCAGAATTGTGGTTTCCAAGGCTGAGGAAGCAGGAAGTAGGAAGTTAGCGCCCTGTGGGTCAGAGCACTTTGCAAGCAAGCTGTGGTTTCCAGCCCAGAGCAGGCGGGTACCATGATTGCCTCGCAGTGTTGGAAGCCATTGGTCCTGGGTCTGGTTTATCGGACAGCTCACTCCACACCCTCTTATCAAACCAATACGTAACGGCTGTATGCATTTGTGAATTGCTATTTTTCAACACGGAATATTTCTATACATGTGATTATGCCCAAATCAGGGTGAGTTTTTTTTTCCTTTGAGCATGTATCATTTCTTTACAGTATATTCAAAATCTTTTCCTTCTCCCAAATTTGTGGGAGGGACACACAAGAGAATACAAAGCCTTTCTGCACCTATGGGCATCTGTGGGGCTCTAGCCCAGTGGTTCTCAACCTTCCTAGTGCTGTGACGCTTTAATACAGTTCTTTGTATTGTGCTGACCCCCACCACAAAATTATATTGTTGCTACTTCATAACTATAACTTTGCTACTGTTATGAATCATAATGCAAATAACTGATGTAATCGCAGGCTTTTCCACTCGCGCCCCAGTTCCTGAAATAACGATTCTGAAACTTATTTATGAATAAATGCCTAGGCCATAAGCTTAGTCTAGTTCCCCAACTAGCTTGTAACTTAATTAACCTGTTTTTACTATTCTATGAGTGCTACATAGCTGGCTACCTCTTCGCAGTGTTTTGTGTCTGTTGGGAGCCGCATTCGCCATTTGACAATGGCGCGGCTCCGTGAGGGAGCCGTGAATGAAAGTGCGCCTGCGTAAGGCGCGCCGGCTCCCCGCTTCTCGGCTCTTTGACAGAGCCGTGAATGAAGGTGCGCCTGCGCAGGGCGCGCCAGCTTCCCGCTCTCTGGTTTTAGTCAGAGCCAAGCCGAGTGTGCGCATGCGCAAGGCGCGAAAATTAATATGCTAATTAGGCGCCATTCAAAGAGCCAATGAAAACTAATATGTTAATTAGGCATCACTTAAGGAGCCAATGAGCATGTGTCACGTTCTCCCAGGACTCTATATAAGCCGTGGGTTCTGGGGCTCGGGGTCCTTCGCCACTACCATCCAAGAGAGCTGTAACACTACCATCTAAGAGAGCTGTAACACCATCTAAAAGAGCTGTAACAAGTAAACTGCTGTCAGAAGAATCCTGAGTGTGGCGTTCTCCTTATCGGCGAGGCGGCGCGTCACATGTGTCTGTCTCCTCAGAGTTTTCAGGAATGTCCTCCAGTGCCTGACTCTATCCCAGAGTTCCTCTTTCTCTCTGCCAGAACTCCCACTTCCTATTTCCTGTCTAAGCTAATTGACCATCAGCTTTTTATTGACAGGTGGTGCTTTCATACAGTACACAAGACAGTATAATCTGATATGCAGGGTATCTGATATGCAGACCCTGTGAGAGGGTTGTTTGACCCCCCAAAGGTATCATGACCCACAAGTTGAGAACCGCTCTTCTATAGGCTGATGCCTTCACAGATAGAAAACAAGCTAGAGGCCACAATCATGTTCTGTGAGCACTCAGATTGGCTACCCATATTAAAGTGAATATTTACCTGGACAGTGAGATGGGCTTGGAGACCAGTTTGCTACAACCCAAGTCTGGAAGAACAGAGACACTCTAACATCAATGAGAAACAAAACACCCAAGGGAAACAAACTGGTGGTTTACTGACATAATTACCAATTTCCCCAACAGGCATATTACCAGCTATGACAGAACTAATGCCAAGTGAGCTTGGATATCCAAATGAATGGCACACAAAAGACTGCTAGGGTTTCCATGAGGGAGACGAGGATCCGTTACATCAGCCCAGGGACTCTGATTCATAGCTTCAGAAATATGAAACTCTTAGGGCCGGAGAGGCGGCTCAGTGGCTAAGAAAGCATACTGTACTTGCAGAGGACTTGAGTTTGGTTCTCAACACCCATTGTCAGGAGACTCACAACTGCCTTTAACTCCAGCTTCAGGGGCTCTGTCCGCCCCCTTCTGGCCTCTGCAGGCATTGCATCCACATGTACATGAGTCCACACAGACACATAATTAAAAATAAATCTTTAAAAGAAGAAACATGAAGCTCCCCCCAAACTATAAAAGTGACCACATCATAAGGATAATTGCCTAAAACTATCCCTGTATTTCAGCACGAGTCCAAGGGTGTGTGTGTGTGTGTGTGTGTGTATGCAGTGCACATCTAGACATAAGTAACTGATGTCAGGTATCTTTCTCATTCATTCTCTGCTTTATATATTGAGGCAAGGTTTCTCACTTGAACTTGGCCTATTAAGTTGGCTAGTCTAGTCAGCCAGCTTGATCCAGTTACTGCTTTGTCTTTGCCTCTCAAATTGGGATTGCGGGTGGCTCCCACCTTCTCCTGGTGTTTACAAAGGTGCCAGGGATCAGAACCTGGTTCTTATGCATATGCAGCAAGTGCTTTACCCACTGAACCATCTCCCTAGCCCTGCGGGATGGTTTCCTCCCACTGTCTAACCAACAGAATCGATTAAATGTCAATCTCAATACATCTACAATAAGAATCAGATAATTCAGGGCATAATGCAAATACATGCTATTTTTAGACAGCAAGATAATTATCGGCAGGCTTGAAGGCCGTTAGGGCCAGACATCGCCCCTTATAACCATTGACTTGTAAAACTCAGAACAGCAGCAGCACGTCTCCTCTATCTGGTCAGTGAATGGGAGTTTTATCTCCAGCCGTAGGAAGAGACTTGACATGCTGAACTGCCTGGAGGCATTAATTGATAACTATCTAAACCCAGTTCTAGGAATCTAAACAGAAAATTCTTACCTAGCCTCAGGTTTCATGCGCCTTTGCTCACTCTCAAGAGTGTCAGTCCAAATGTGCCTGTTGATCACCTGGACTGGAAAATGTCTCAAGAAATCTGTCTGTTCTGCAGAGTTTAGAGCTAAAAATGGAGATTGGCTCAGTGGTCTCTCTGGACACTGTCACCTCTCACCCTGTGCACGCCATTTGTTCGTCACTGCTCCCTTTAGCCACTGTTCTCTGACGTCCCCAAAGTGACCTTAAGCTATTCTGTAATAAACTGTAGCCATCTTCCACTCTATGCTCCATGTGTCTTATCTGAATTCATTCAGCAAAGCTCACAAGGACCCAGGAGCTGAGGGGACATCAGTATGAAACACCAGCCACAGTATGGGACTCCTCTAAGCTAAGCCAAGGAGTCCTGGGGGCAAGGCCTAGGGTCAAATG